ACTGCACTACCCATTAACAATGGAATCAACATTGCATGCCACATATACTCTTATGAACCATCCTTCCAACAAGATCTATCTGGAGGAACTTTAACTATTAGAGGTGAAGCCTTAAAAGGTTTACTATAAATGGTATTTCTGTTTTCTTTAGGAGTGTCAACAGTTCAAAATATACAATGGTCCATTGCTTTGCAAACATTGTCATGGCTGCCGCCTACATTTTATTCTGATGACATACCACAAGGAGAAGACCCAATTTATAATATACTAGTGAATAGTATCAGCATTGTCAATACTACCAGTACTAGTGTATGGTTGAATATATCTTCTTGTACCACTGAATTTAGTGTCAGTATTGTTACTTCTATTGATGAATATCAGTCAACAGCAATGGAGTATAGTGTAGATAATGCTGGTGGTGAGTTTGAACAACACGTATTTGTGCATAGTATCATGTGAATGCTTTTTTCAATAACAGTTTACAACATCAGTATTGTTAACTATACTCTACTATTCAATGAAACTAGAAAATACTTTTATGTGGAGTTGTTGAATTTTGTAAGTAAAATTATTGAAATGTTTTTTTGTTAGTTTTTATGCAGGTACAGAGCAACAAAAGGTTTTGTGACATTGCCATAGTTGGCAAAATTGAATCTTGTGAGGAAGATGCTGATAAATACTATTCTCCAGAGAATATTGCAACTAACATGAGAGAAACATATGTACTGTACATAATGGATGGACTTGAGCCTTGTAAAACATATACTGCAGTGATCAGTGTAATGAATACTCTGAAAAATAAAATTGAAAATGAAGATAATGTTAACATTAGTGAGTTACTTGTATATAGTCTAACAGTTATCAATTTTTTATTTAATAGCTACAAGTTCTAATAGTATACAAGATGTTGTTTTATCTATTGAAGGGGATGGATCAGTTAGTGTTCGATGTGTTTATGAAGAATCATCAACTGTTGATGGATGTCATGTGATATTTACACACACTACTACTGGAAAGAAAGAATACTTCAATGTAACATATGATAATAGTGCACTGATATCTTTACCAACAAATGGAAACTACACTGTAACTGCATATGCCATTACTAACATGACTATTGTTCCGTGGTCATGTGTACAACCGAAAGAAGTAGCTCTGACTATAACCACTGAAACTGCATTAGATCTATACAGCTCTTCATGGACTGATGGTATAACATCTAGTATCATTGATAGTAAGAGATTATTATTCAGTACTGTACGTTTATTTATTTTGTATGGTTACAGATGCATTCTATGTGTCATCAACCATTGTAATATCAGGTAGGCATTATAGTAACTAAATAGCTTCATGAATTATCATGATCTACAATTGTTACATACATTATAGTGCTACCCACAGTAGTCCCTAGTAGTCAATCAACACAATCAGCTTTGATGATAGTACTCTTATCAACATTTGGGGGCCTGTTACTGGTACTTATGTTACTGATAATGATCATATGTGACCATAATTGACAAAAGGTACCTTATGGCGGGTAGTGAAATTTGTCTTTCTAGCCTAAGAAATCCAACTTCCTGAGCCTCAGTTATCATAAAATTACTCCACAGGATGCAAAAAGTTACCATGAAACTTTTAGAAACAATGATTGTCTAACAAAGCACTCGCAGGTTCATATTTTCCATTATAACTATCAATTTTAAAATCCGCCATAAGGGCCCTTTTGTCAATTATGGTCACATATCAGTTGCTGTTTGGTGTCTGAGAATAAGGGACAACAAATTTAAAGGTTGGTATTGCTGTTTCCTGCCAAGTTGCCATTATGATAAACATTTTTAGGGCCTATTATGGAGAATCCAGCATATGGACAAGGTAAGAATAAAATAATTGTTATTGAATCTTAACGTATAATACATTGTATATAGTGGTTGAACTTCAGCAACAAAGACCACCAAGAGTTAGGACTGAAGTTAACCCAGCTTATGAGACAGTGCTTCCACATGTTAATAATGCATTATATGAATCTGTTTGGTGATTTTTTAAATGCTCGTTGAAGCTTATAGATACAACTTAGTGTTCAGTATATGGGAACCAGCCCTCAGTTAAAAGCAAAGGAGGAAAATTTTTTTCGTGAATCCTAGATACTGATACAGCCTAGCCATGATAACAACATTTATGCCTACCATCCATTATTCAACTTTGTTGAAAGCAGCTTTGTGGTTACTTTGATCTTATGGCAACTCTGTTGCCTGAAATAGAACTGAGTTCTATTTTAGGCGACAGAGTTGACAGCACATCAAAGTAACCACAAAGCTACTTTCAACAAAGTTGAATAGTGGATGGTGGGTTTAAGAGCTTAAAGCTACATCATTGTACAGTGTTGCTTTCAGCCTTTGATGATGCTTTGATGTGGTCGACCTTGAATAAAAACAATTGTATTCCTTTCAAAAAGGTTGAAAGACTGTAACATTACTCTAGTGCAATTTAAAAAGTATTAGTAATACAAAGTTGTTTGTTTAGACTTTAGGGGCGTGAATTACCGTATGAGGAATTACCCGGAAATGAATAAATCATATAGCATATTATAGATATGATCGTAGTGTCTATGAATAAATTAAACGAATTATCGATAGGCTTGGCTAGGCTTGCATAAACACAAATCTAGTTGTGTGGATTCTGTGGTTAGCGCACAACTCGTAGAATTCTGCCAACTGGCATTGCAGTCAGTGTAGTGTTGTAGCTTGTAAAGCTGTTGTGGGGACTATATATAATGGTGTACTTAGAAAGAAGTGTGATCACTTCTTCTAGTGCCCTGGCAACACTCTGAAATGCCACTGATGACAATTGAGAACTTATTAGAACTGGTGGAAGCAGAAGAACCAGAGACATCATTATTCCTGGGAACCGAAACGTTCTCATGATCATGATTGCCACTTAAAGTGGGCAGACCATCAACATCTTGACGCAGTGAAGCAATTTCATTAGTGACAGTAGAGAACCGAACCTTCAAGGGCTGCAATACGGGAAGAAAGAGAGTTAGAGCGGTCAGACAGATCACGCTTAAGATTAGAGATTTCATTAGATAAATAATTAACCCGGCAAGATGGACAGTGGAATGGGCCTTATTAGTCTCGCATAGCCATGGATTAGCCAGACTCTTCATCCCTGAGGACGAAGCTAAGCCGTCTGTCTAGTCAGGCGGGACGTGGAGCAGATGTGATGATTATGTTGCCATCATCATAATTATTATCATTATATAGATAAGGGCTGCTCCGATTGGCAGCTTATTGATTTACACGCTGAGTGTGTGCAGTCATAGTCTAGATCTATATTTAATTTAATTTAATTTAATTGTAATTTTACAGAATGCGTAGAACAATAAAAATAAGTACAGTACAGAGAGAAAGAGAGGACAGAGGAAGCATCCTGAAGGGTTACCAACAAGAACTGCTGGCACCCGGAAAACAGAAGAAACAAAAGAAAAGAGAAAATAAGATAAATAGATAAATAAATGAACAGATAAAATATAAGAATTATATATAATAATCAACAAAAAAATGAATGAATGGATAGTGATAAATAGATAATGAGTAGATTGTGATAAATAATATGTAAGTAAATAAATAATTAACAAATACAGAAAATGAGAATTAATATACAGCAGATAAAATCAAATCTGATAAAATAAAATAGAATAAAAAATAAAAACAA